TACATTCAGTCCTCAGAATCCACCCTTAGATTGTAAAGGAGTTCCATCACTTAGAGTCATAGGGCTGCACAGCAGAGAAAACATAAGAACATAAGAACTAGGAGCAGGAGTAGGCCGTCCGGCACTTCGAGCCTGCTCCGCCATTCAATAAGATCATGGCTGATCTTTTTGTGGACTCAGATCCACTTACCTGTGTTCTCACTGTATCCCTTAATTCCTTTATTGTTCAAAAAGAATCTACCTTATCTATAAAAACGTTTACTGAAGTAGCGTCAACTACTTCACTGGGCAAGGAATTCCATAGATTAACAACCCTCTGGGTTAAGAAGTTCCTTCTCATTTCAGTCCTAAATCTGCTCCCTCTAATCTTGAGGCTATGCCCTCTTGTCCTAGCTTCACCTGCCAGTGGAAACATCCTCTCTACTTCTATCTTATCTATTCCCTTCATAATTTTGTATGTTTCTATAAGATACCCCCTCAATCTTCTGAATTCCAATGAATATAATCCCAATCTACTCAGTCTCTCCTCATAAGCCAACCCAATCAACTCTGGAATCAACCTATGAACCTCCTTTGCACCCCCTCCAGTGCCAGTACATCCTTTCTCAAGTAAGGAGACCAAAACTGCACACAGTACTCCAGGTGTGGCCTCACCAGCACCTTGTACAGCTACAACATAACCTCTCTGCTTTTAATCTCAATCCCTTTAGCAATGAAGGACAAAATTCCATTTGCCTTCCTAATTACTTGTTGTACCTGCAGACCGACCTTCTGTGATTCATGCACAAGGACACCCAGGTCCCTCTGCATAGCAGCATGCTGCAACTTTTTACCATTCAAGTAATAATCCTTTTTACTATTATTCCTACCAAAATGTATCACTTCACATTTATTTACATTGTATTCCATCTGCCAGACCTTTGCCCACTCACTCAATGTATCTATGTTCCTCTGCAAAGTTTCACAGTCCTCTGCACACTTTGCTCTGCCACTCATCTTAGTGTCATCTGCAAACTTTGACACCTACACGTGGTCCTCAACTCCAAATCATCTATATAAATTGTAAATAATTGCGGTCCCAACACCGATCCCTGAGGCACACCACTAGTCACTGACTGCCAGCTGGAATAGCACTCATTTATCCCCACCCTTTGCTTCCTGTTAGTCAACCAATCCTCTATCCATGCTAATACTTTACCCTTAACGCCATGCATCCTTATCTTATGCAGTAGCCTCTTGTGCGGCACCTTGTCGAAGGCCTTTTGGAAATCTAGGTACACCACATCCACTGGGTCCTCATTGTCCACCTTGCTCGTAATGTCTTCATAGAATTCCAAAAGATTTGTCAAGCATGACCTGTCCTTCATGAACCCATGCTGCGTCTGCCCAACGGGACAATTTCTATCAAGATGCCTTGCTATTTCTTCCTTGATAATAGACTCAAGCATCTTCCCCACTACAGAGGTTAAGCTAACCGGTCTATAATTCCCCATCTTTTGTCTACTTCGCTTTTTAAACAGTGGCGTCACATTTGCTGTTTTCCAATCTGCTGGGACTGCCCCAGAGTCCAGTGAATTTTGGAAAATTACCACCAGTGCACCTGCTACTTCTCCTGCCATCTCTTTTAGTACCCTGGGATGCATTCCATCAGGGCCAGGAGACTTATCAATCCTTAGCTCCATTAGCTTGCCCAACACTACCTCTTCCGTAATAATGATTGTTTCCAGGTCCTCACCTACCTTCGTCTCTTTGTCAATTACTGGCATGTTATTAGTGTCCTCCACTGTGAAGACCGATACAAAATACTTGTTCAATGCCTCGGCCATTTCATCATATCCCATAACTAAATTCCCCTTCTCATCCTCTAAAGGGCCAATGTTTACTTTAGCCACTCTTTTCCGTTTTATATATTTATAGGATCTTTTGCGATCTGTCTTTATATTTTGTGCTAGTTTTTTCTCATGTTCTATCTTACTTTTCTTTATAGCTCTTTTTGTGGCTTTCTGTTGACCTTTAAAGTTTTCCCAATCTTCTAGTTTCATGCTGTTTTTGGCCACTTTGTATGCCTTCTTTCAACTTGATAGCCTCCCTTATTTCTTTAGACACCCATGGCAGATTACCCCTTTTCTTACAGTCCTTCCTTTTCACTGGAATATACTTTGCTGAGCACTTTGAAAAATTGCTTCGAAAGTCCTCCACTGCTTGTCAACTGTCCCACCATAAAATCTTTGTTTCCAGTCTACTTTAGCCAAGTCCTCCTTCATTCTATTGTCGTTCCCCTTGTTCAAGCACAGGACCCTGGTATTGGATTTTATCTTCACACTCTCCATCTGTATTCTCAATTCTCAATACTGTGATCACTCCTTCCAAGAGGATCCCTAACTATGAGGTCATTAATTCTTCCTGTCTTATTACACAGGACCAGATCTAGGATAGCTTGCTCCCTCGTCGGTTCCATTACATACTGTTCAAGAAAACTATCACGGATACACTCAACGAACTCCTCCTCAAGGCTACCCTGACCGAGCTGGTTCGACCAATCTACATGTAGATTAAAATCCCCCATGATAATTGCCGTAGGATTTTTACAGGCATTAGTTATTTCTTTGTTTATTGCCCGCCCCAGTGTGATGTTATTATTTGGTGGCCTATAGACTGCGCCTATCAGTGACTTTTTCCTCTTAGAATTTCTAATTTCCACCGAAATGGATTCAACCTCATTCTCCATAGAGCCTATATCATCTCTCAGCACCGCCCTGATGTCGTCCTTGAATATCAGAGCTACACCACCTCCCTTACCTTCCTGTCTGTCCTTCCGAATAGGCTGGTACCCTTGGATATTTAACTCCCAGTCGTGACCATCCTGTAACCATGTCTCCGTAACGGCTACCAAATCATGTTCATTCGTGATGATTTGTGCCGTTAACTCATCAACCTTGTTACGAATGCTACGAGCATTCAGGTAAAGTGCCTTTATGCTAGCTTTCTTACCCTCATGATTTTCAACATCTCTAATAATATCTCCTGAGTTATCCTTCCTTTTTGCTTCTTTCACAGTCTGCCTTGAACTTAAACCCTCCTGCACACATGCTAACCTGCTGCTTACCTTTTCATTTACCATCATACTCCCTGTCGTTTTCCCTTTCCCTTTCCCCCAAATCACTAGTTTAAAGTCCTAGTGACCGTCCTATTTATCCTTTTTGCTAGAACACTGGTTCCAGATCGGTTCAGGTGGAGACCGTCCCATCGGTACAGATCCCTCCGGTTACAAAACTGATGCCAATGCCCCATGAAATGGAACCCCTCTTTCCCACACCACTCCCTTAGCTACATGTTTACTTCCCTAATTTTCTTATCCCTAAGCCAATTTGCACGTGGCTCGGGCAGTAATCTGGAGATTATGACCCTCGAGGACCTGTTCCTTAATTTCGTTCCTCGTGCTTGATAATTCCCAAACAAGTCCTCCATCCTAGCCTTGCCTATGTTGTTAGTCCCAACGTGGACCACAACAACTGGATCCTCCCTTCAGTGATCCTCCAGACCCTTCAATCCAACTCGTCCATACCGACCAGATATCCTAAATTAATCTAGTCCCATTTGCCAGGATTTGGACTATGTCCCTCTAAATCCATCCAATTCATTTATGCATCCAGATGTCTTTTAAATGTTGTAATTGTACCTGCCTCCACCAGTTCCTCTCATTCTGTACATGCACCACCCTCTGCATGAAAAAGTTGCCCCTTAGTTCCTATTTAAATCTTGCCCCTCTCATCTTAAACCTATGCCCTCTAGTTTTGGACTCCCCTACCGGGGGAAAAGACATTGACTATTCACCCTATCTATGCCCCTTATGATTTTATCACATTCTATAAGGTCATCCCTCAGCCTCTGATGCTCCAGGGAAAATAGCCCCAGTCTATTCAGCCTCTCTCTGTAGCTTACACAACAACACTTGCTGAAATATGTGCAGTCCATTTTTTGGTTAGAGCAATGTAATTAATTTATGAACTTGATGGTCAGATTTGTTGCCATACCGCTCTCATGAACAGCTTCTGGTAATTGCTGTCCACCAAGAAGGAGTTCAAACCAAAGTTCAAGATTGTGGTGGTTTTCCATCACCAGCTATTGTCATTATTGTTTAAGGAATGGAAGGCATAAAACAATATCTCTTTTTATCCAGGATGATACATCTGGCAATGAAAATTTGAAACTAAGTTAACATTTGGTGGTAGACTTAGAAATCTTAAAACCTCAACCATTACTTTGTTAAAACTTATGAAGTAATTTTGCGCATGATCCTCTGTGGCCGAATTTTGTTTAATTTCACTGGGGTTTAAAATTGTGAGCAGACTACACTGACTAAGCAGAAATTCTGCAAGTTGATTTTGTTTGGTTTAACATTTTTTAAAGATGATGTTAGAATTTTCTTGCCATATTGCCTTAAATACCATATATATGAGAAATGAGGGACAGTCCATATCCCTTCCCAGAAGCGGAGATGAATTAAATTGATTTCTATTAATTTAACAAAAGACTTTTAAGAAGTTATTCTAAAAGTTGGCTGAAACGCATGAGCAAAATATCAGGGAAAAGCATGAGACATTTAATAAATTACTTTGCAGGGATTTATTGGACGCACAACAAATAAACTCTAGGAAAGAAAATAGCTCCAATCAGCTCCGAGCTGCTGCAGAAGCTGAGTTGCGATCGCGGTGTATGACGGAAGTTGTAGTTCGTCAGTACCCTTTCTGCTTCACGTGCCATAGAGCTGTCGGAAACAGGGGAACTACAAATTCCAGAAGGCGCTGCGATCGAGTAGACTGTCCAGCAGATTCCACTGTTTGCAGCCTCCGGTCGGGCTGGCGACAATGTTCCTCTGCTTTGGGTTTTACACATGGTAACGTGTGGCCACAGTGTTGTGAAACTGTTGGAAATGGCGTTGGCGATTGGTTGTAACCTTCGCATTTCAAAAAGACCTTCCTCGTATTTGTAAGAGTCTTTGTGGTTCATTTGGTGTGCGCGTTGTTTTCTCTGTCCTGGGGTTTTATTTTGCCAAGTGGTTCTTAATGCCTGTGTTGGATATGAACCGCCCTGCCACAGTTTTTAAATCAACAGTTAAATAGGCAAACAGCTCTGTCACAGTGATTACAGCGCTCCCTACTTTTCTACACCGATCATCGAGTTGGAAACGTTGTATCGCAACCTCCCTGTCTCTGTTGGAGACGTTGTATCGCAGTGTCTGTCCACGACTTGCACAGAAGGTCTGCCCCAAGAGGGGGAGTTTGAAGAAAAACGCGTTCAGGCAACACACTTCGAATTTGACAGTTCAGGAAGTGGTTTGAAATGGGTAATACCGCCACAACATGTAGAAGACCATCGATCTGTCAGCATTAAATTTTAATAAAATTTAAAGAAGAAACACCTCGAAAATGGCATCAAGTAACTCGAGTTTGTCTGGCTCATCGGTTTCGTCAGGTAAGGAAGGAGAAAACAAAATGACAGGTTAAGATGTTCAAGTAGGTTCAAGTAGATGACACGCGAATTGAATGCATTAAAACACATTGGTAGCGATGCTTGCTGAGGACGTCTGACATTTTTGTTTAAAGATCTAATCCATGGTAACGTTATTGCCTGGAATGATACCGTGTTTTTTTTAAAACATTAAATATCATAGTCAAAAAACATTGAGATCGCTTCTTTAGTAATAACAGCTTTTTGGCCTAGTTGTACATTGTTTTGATCATTTATGTTAAAAGTCGCTGATAACTTACTACGTGGCCCCACCCTCTTACCCTCTTCACCCCATAAAGCATGACTTATCTCAGCAACATTTATAACCATAGCTGGTTAGCATTTATAACCGTATGCACATACTTTAGTGTAGTGGCAATAAATGGTTATTTTAGAAGTAATTCTAGTCTGGTGTATACAGCTGCAATTCTTCATTAAGTCTTTCTCAAACAATAATCATGGGTGACTATCAAATGAGTAACATGAGTTGTATTACGTATTCATTCAAACCTTATTACTAGTGTTAAATTAAACCTTTTAATGTAAATGTTCTGATAACAATAATTATCACATTTTAAAAAATTTAAAGTTTGAAATACTTTGATTTGAGTGATACAATAATATTTTAATCTGATTCATCAGTGCATTGTGATTGAAATGACATATAGATGTGAGTAAATGCATAGTTTCTGATTAAGATTGAAGTTCTTGCTTAGGTGATGAATGCTAAGCACTTCTCAAGGTGCTTGGTCACAACTTCACACCAAAAAATTGAAATTTTGAAAATTTATCAGTAGTTGGCAACTTGTTAGAAAAATCAGAAAATATTACAGCCATAGTAAATCATTGCAAAATTTTTGTGCTGTCGTTAATATTATGCACAGATGAGTCTTTAAAATGTGGAAGAGGTGTTGAAGTGGAGAGTAGATAAGCTAATTTTAATTAAAATGGTCAAAGTTACCAGCTTAATGTTGATCACCTTCCTACTCACTTGATTTGTATGAAAAATAATGATGATTAATAGATAAAATGGTCTAATTTAGAGATTTCTGTTTTAAATTGAAGCTGTAACATGGTTCTTAACTATTTAAAATCAATTTTAGTAGTATAGTGAAGAATTAATGCCTGGTATGTCTAAATGTAAAGCTTGAATTGCTTTCTAAATTAGGAGTATAACAATAAATCTAATAGTGTTAATATGACTTGAAATGCACTTTATTTTTTCTTACACTCTCATGTTGCCCTATTTTTATTTGTAGACACTGTGTATAGTTTGTAACCTATGATTGACCAGTTGTATAAAACACGTCACTTCTCTTGAAAAGAGAAAATGCCTCAACCTAATATTGCAAATCTCAAAAAATCATTGGTATGTTGGTTAATGCATTTATCAGGAAGTAATTTTGTGAATTTATGGACTCTCTCTCTGAAGCATTGAGCATTTCTGAAGCTTGCTTACTTTATTATTTCTAGGAAGTGTGAGTAAGAGTTTGGCACCTAGCCATGATAACAGCATGGATTGGCAACTTGATGTGTTAAATTTGTGCCGCTGGTACGACCCTATGTTTGGGATTTATTCTAAAAATATAATAAAGAACTGCATGAAGTTGCATTTATGTTGACCAAAATAATTTGTATATGATCATGTATTCTTTAAAACATCTCCACTCTGTAGCGGGGGTCACTGCATGTTTATACTAAAAACTGAACTGAGCCTGCAGTGTAGTTTTGCTTCTTATAGAAAATGCAACTTTACTGTTATTTCTCTAAGCAAGACATAACTGCTTTATTACCACCGAGCTTTGTGTCAAAGGAAATTCTGATTGCTCCAAACTTTATCTTTGAATGTGAATAAATAAACAGATTGCAAAACTTTATTTTACAGTCTGACACCACAATGAGTCAGTTGGGAGTGTATTTTGGCACATTGAGAGAAACTATTATTTCTCACACTTATGCCGCATTCAACTTTTTTGTATAGATATGTTTAGTTTTATTTTAATAATGCTTTAGCTAAATTAACAGTGCAGCACTGCTTGGTTAAAACAAAATTCTGCACAAGTAGCCATAATTGAATACTGTTTTCCCAGAAGTGACAGTATGAAAGATGTTATAATGACAGTTGACTATCCATCTGCACCTTTTTTGGTGGAAGACTCCAATTCACACAGCACTTACACAATTTTGTGAAGTGAAGGGGTATAATCAATCCAAGACTTAAAGTAATTGGTGTCTCTCGAGTCATCCATGGTACAGAGGCAATAAACAACAAGGTATACTGAATTCACAAGGCAAAGGCCAAGAATTATGGATTCAAATGTGTTCTTGTGAGTGCACTGTTCACATGGTGTATAGGAATTATGTATGACTGTTTAAAATCATTGCATCATTTTTATTGTAATAACAATGTCTGCTTCAAAAAGAATTTCACTCCCTTGTGTGCTCGCTCTCTCTCTCTCTCTCAACATTCTGAGTTTCATTATTTTCATTTGAGATATAAGTATTTAGCTACGATCTGTAAATTGTAATATTATAGTAACTTGATACTATTTTTGTTGCAGTACCTTTTCATATACAATATCAATGTGCAAAAAGAGACATTCAAGTTTTTTTTTTGTATCAACTGCATTCTTGCTGATCAATACAAACGCAATTTCTTTTCATATCTGGAATGATTTTCTGAACAAGGAGCCTAGGTCTCTGCCAATATCTATCGTGAACTATCCAATAGAAACAAAAGCAAAATATGGCAATGCTTGAAATCTAAAATAAAGACAAAAAGTGTTGAATGCATTTAACAAATCAGTCAAAATCTGTGGAAAGGCAAACAGAACTAAAGTTTAAGGTGTTTAAGCTACATCTGAATTGGAAAATATATAGCAATGAAATTGATTTGATTTTAAAGAAATACAGAGAAAGAATTATGGGTGTTTACATTTGGTAGATATTATGATCCGCAATTGTTGAACTGATTGTTGAGTTCAGAAGGCTGTACTATTTCCTGAAAGTCTTGCTCTCACCCTTGCCCTCCCTCCCAGAAACAAGATAGTTTTCTCCTTGTCCTCATTTTGTAGCCAGCGATCTTCACATTCAATAGATCACCGTCCTGCATTTCTGCCACTTTGATAATGGTACCACTAACAAGCACATCTTTCCTTTCCTTTCCTTTCCCTTGCCTATCAGCGTTCTGAAGGGACTGTTCTCTCTGGCACACCCCAATCCACCCCTTGATCACCTCCCAACACCACGTCCCTATCACTGCAAACACAAGGGAAATGTTTGACTTTTTCCCCTCTCCCTTCCCAGTGTCCACCATATCAAACAATCCTTGCAGTAACTGTGATTTTATTTGTAGTTCAATTTAGCACAGTCTATTCTTTGCTGTCAAAGCTGTCTCTACATTTGGAAGATCGCATACAGATTGTATGACTGCTTTCCAGAACCTTTTTGTCTATTCCACCTGACCCTTGAGCTTCGAGTTGCTTGTCATTTTAATTTTTCACTCCTCTTCCATTATGACTTTTGTCTTTCCCCCTCCTACAGTTGCACTGACGCTCAACAGATACTCCTAGAGCAGCATTTACATTGTTTGATTTGGCATCTACAATCTTCCAAACTTAACATTGATCCAAGATAGTTGTACTCATAACTTAGGCTCCCATTTTGTGTTTTTTGGCCAGCAGCTGTAAATAATAATTTCCAATGGCCAGCTACTCTAGACCCATTTTTAGATTTATTAAAAAAAAAATCGTTATTAATGTAGTTCCCATCATTTGACCACTTTTGGTTTCCACATTATCCCAGGCCTTCACTGTTCTTTTGCCTGCTCCACCTTTTCCTGTTTCTGTACTTGTTAAAATCCAGTTTCATTTCTTGACCGTTTCTCAGCTGGAAAAGGTTATCAACTTGAAATGTTAACCCGGTGTCTGTCTCTGCTTTTACTGCCAGACTTCCTGAGTATTTCCAGCATCTTCTGTTTCAAACCAATAGGAACAGTTGGTCATAGAAGTACAGCGTACGGCACCAACACCATTTGTCCATTGTTACCTGGGCTAGGAAGATATATAAAAACTCAAATGTATAATTTTGTCAGGAGGAAGGGCATTTATTTGTTGTCCTTGTGAGCTGATGGTAGATTTGAAAATCCTACATGCTGTTTGACGGGATAGCAAAGTTTGAAGTAGGAGGTTGCATAGTGCTAATTTTCTCTTAGTGCAACTATCAAGTAGAAGTATCTTAGTTTTATTAAGGGATGCATAGATTGAGCATTTTCTCTTTTCTTCTACTCAGCCCTTCCATGAGAGAACTTGACTGAGATCAGAAACTTATTACATGGGAACACTGACAAGAACAAACCGATCACTTAGTTGTAAATTGCATCATCATAGTAAGCTACTGCATGACTGAATCATAAATAATGCCTTCAGAACTATCTATTTTAAAAAAGTGTGTACTACCTCAATATTTTAGTCTTTGCTGCTTCCATAGCTTTTTACTTTCCCTTTTGTAAGCATGGTGTCTTCATTTAAAGGAAGAAAATGGGACAAACTCTTTGTAAAGTCCTCTCAACTACCTTTCCTGATCACAAAGTAACTTGACTGTAGTGGTAAAGACCTGTCACCAAACACACATTACCCTAGCATTGTGGAACAGTGTGCCCAGGTATGTTCCACACAAAAACTGCATGCAGTAATTGACTGGATTAGATTTATCCTGTAAGCTTCCTGTCAATTGACGGCAAAGCAATGGAAGGAGCCATTATTTGATCCTTGCTGAAACATGTACTAACAATTAGCCTTGTTATTGCTCAGTTTGGATTCTGCCAGACCAAAGCAACTTTAGATTGCAGCACAGTTTTGACGTTGAAATGACAATAAAGTGCTAAATATCAGAAAAGGGGAAGGTAGCTTCTGTCCACATCAAATCATCATTAAATCAAACGTGACACCAAGAACCCCAACAAA